TCTTTCGTTTGCCTCGTTGCGAAACGTTCTGCTGCGACGAATGTACACGAATTTACAGATTTTCGACCCTGAAGCCGTATCGTTTTCTTGCGAAAGTGTGAGCAGGCGAGAAAACAAGAAAACTATGATCACGCTTGTGTTTGTCCAAGAAGAGAATCTTCATACCGCGGAGATGAGAAGAATAAACGAATATACAGTACCGTTATACACAAATACTCCGGTACAGCCGTCTATTGTAAACGCTATAATTATGGTTCAATAATTCATGAACGTCCGCCACAGCGTCTGTCACGTCTCAGAGTCGAAAGCATTTTCATGCTCAAGCGTACGCTTTTGACCATTGCTGTAAGCGTCGATTGAATTTTTGCAGAATTTGTGTGTTGTAAGGGAACTGTAATTCTGAGTAGTAAGTTAAGAGCTTCAGATTACAGAAGATTATTAATTTTACGATTGTTTTGATTCTGTCTGATGTGCTCTCATTTTAGAGAAGCCTGAATTAAAACAGGCACCAGAAGATTTTGTGACCGAGGTGGGTTCTGAGGCAGTGTTCTCGTGCAAAATCACCGGCGATCCTAGCCCGGTGATCACCTGGCGAAAGAAGGATGGAACAATGCCGGTTGGTCGTTCACAAGTTTTGGAAGACCGAAGTCTCAGAATCGATCGCGTCGTTTCTTCCGATGACGGCGAATACATCTGCACAGTAAATTTCGTCTCAAGCAACTTTTGTCTAGTCTCTGTTTAAACTCTTATCTTATCAATATATCAGCGGTAGACACGTTCAATGCAGTACGTCAGTAATATATCAGTAATCAGTGTGGTATGCCTGTTATATCTTATTGTACTATAAGTATAGGAATATGTCGTATTCCGTCAGTAAACTAACGATATACACAAATGATTAATGATTCGGTCGTTTGGCCAATAAAGCTGCACAGATGACGGCAGAAGTTCGATCTTTTGACAGTGCTCGGTAGGCTGAGTCGAGATATATGTCTGCAAGCAGCAGAGTTTGCCTTAAACATTTTTTAAGTATTGTCTGAACTGGCAGTTGGGCATAAATCATCTTGATTGCTCTTGTATCAAGCTACTTTAACATGAATTATACTTGGGCAAGTCACATGTCAGGATTGGTAGGCGACAGATAAGCTTTAGCGATGGCGGATGGATATCTAAAGAGCTGTAAGTGTCCAATCAGTGCTAATGTAAGATATGCATATATATGGCCATAACTTTTTCGTGGAACACATGCATTGGCATCGAAATCAGCATATGGTTATCTCTGGTAGCATTGAGAATATCCATTAAATATCATGATTAATTATTACGGTTTAATATCCATGGACGCAGCAGGGTTTGTCGCCAGTACTTTATTTTAATGTCACATTCGGTAGATGACGTCCAACTACTCCAAGATAGGATTTCACCCGACGAATTGTGCCGATCCATTGCGCCTAGCAGGCCACAGTTTCATATTATTTAAGTAACTGCAGTAACAAATGCATGTCATATTATTTTATCCGCTAGAGCCGCTTCGCGCTCATTACGATCCATGTCACGTATTGGTGAGACAACTTTATCCTTCATCGCGGTATTCGGCCTGATCTCGTTTGTGCTGATTGTATTTCTAACTGTAGACATTTAGTAACTTGTGAAAAATGCGCAGAACTGCATAGAGCTTCGAAAGTGCTTATGCATGTGTCTTACGGTAGTTTTTAAGCTTCGAACGTAACACGTGCCCGTGTTTAATCAGGAAAATTTTTCATGCATGTTTTCTTTCGTATTAGGGTAAGAATCCGGCAGGAAGCGTGGATGCATCAGCACGACTCACTGTACAGTCTCCACCGTGGTTCGTCGTTGAACCGAAGGATACGATAGCGGAAGAAGGGTCTCAGGTTTCTCTTAGTTGCGAAGCTAACGGAAATCCGGTGCCCGCAATATTTTGGTCGAAAGAGGGAGCTAAGGTATATCGGTTTGGCTTTCATTCGTTACAAGAAACCGTTCTTTATGATTTAATCCTCTTGTCAGGAGTTGATGTTTCCCGGTCACCTGTCGTCCGACAAGCACTTTGAGGTCACGGCTGCTGGTCACCTGATCATTAGGAATTTCGGAACCTCTGATGAGGGTTACTACCTTTGTTCAGCATTGAATGCTGCTGGTTCCAACAGCGTCAAGGCGTTGCTGAAACTTTCCGGAGAAAGTGAGTAACTCGTTCATCATTTTCATGATTGTTTGCTTACTGGTTCCTTTTTAGCTTCTGGCGTCAATCCTCCTCCGCTCATTCTTCGCGGTCCCGCTAACCAGACGTTGCCGTTGAACTCGCT